AGCACAAGAGCCCGAGTATAGACAGCAGCAGCACGTAAAAATGGGGATAGTGATGCATGCCTGGAATCCCTGGTGGAAGGCAGGATTGGGAGTTCAAGGTCATCATAAAGTTTGAGACTAGCCAGAGAGAACATGAGACTCCTGACCCAAGAAGTTCTTAGGCTAAGGATGTAATAGCTCAATAGCAGAGTACTTGTCTAGCACAGGTGAAGCCCTGGGTTCAAATTCCAACTCTGGTCCTTTACTTTGAAGTTGGGCAAGACATTTGATTTCACTTTGCAGCAGCTGCTCCCTTGCTTGTGGGCCCAACAATACCATGACAGAACTGCCAAGAAGTTTAACACAGCATCCAGAATAGTGCACCTGGTTAGCTCTGAGCCAGTCCTCTAATTACTGCATGTAACATCTGGCTAGGTTCAAACCCTTTACATGCCAGGTATTAAGTACTTGACACACATGTATTTTAATTTACCCTCACAACCTGAGAGATGGTTACTTCATCATTAATACATGAAGAAACTGGTATGACCTTACTAAGGTGGAACCTTTTGTCCTTCCCATTATACCACCTACCACCATTGACAGAAAAGTTTTTCTTAAAAATTAAAACAGCTTTTGCTAGGCAGTGGCTCATTCCCTGTAATCCCAGTATTCAAGAGGCTAAGTCAAGATTATTGATCACCATAAATTTAAACATAGCCTGGGTAAGGTCTTGCCTCAAATTAAAAAAAAAAAAAAAAACCACTTAACACTCCTATCATTTTAGGTATAGATTATCCCTTTGTGTAATTTCAAATTTACAAACTAAAGAAAGCAAGGCTCCAGAACCAGTATTTTGCCATTTGTATTTATCTGGGAATTGCATGATACTGATCAGATATATAGGTTCCTTACTTTGTGGGGAAGGGTTCTGAGGTTCCTCGTGTGCACCGGCCATACGGTATGGTAAAAATACAGATACAAACTTCCCCATTCCAGTTCTAGTACTAGCTTAATGGCTGTGTTGAGTAGTTTTTTAGAACAGAGACTTCTGATCAAGTGAGGCATTGCATGTAAAGTGATAATGCTTTAAAATTTCTACACCTTTTTACATTATTTACTGAACACTGTCAGAAGGTGTGATGACAGGTTCCCTACCCATGAAAAAAGCAAGAAGCTAATAAGTCTATGGTGTAAACTGGGCATGGTGTCACAACCTTGTAATCCCAGCTCTTAGAAGCAGGTAGAAAGACCAATCACTTAGACCACCCTAGTCTACACAGGGAGTTCCAGGTCAGCCAGGGCTACATAGCAAGACCTTGTGTCAAATAAAATAGAATATAACCTGTTGTAGTAAATCTGAATTCTAGGGACTAAAATGCCAGTAACAAAATACTCTTACTTGTATCACTGAGCCCTTAAAATTATTTTAGTTAAGTTGTACTTTTATATGTGGTTAATTCAGTTATTTGTTGAAGGCATAATTCTTTTTGAAATACAGAGAATTCCAGATGGGTGGTAAAACACTGAATATTTATTCTAGACAGTAGGATGTAGAACACACTTATAAACAGTCCCTAGTATGAATAGACATTTTCCACTTAAGGGTATAGACGGGTCAGCTCTCAGCACATAAAGAAAAAAGTGATTTTCAGAGCAGCTGGGCATCTGAATTTTCACAGTCTTCACACATTAAACAAAAGGTCTTGACCACATTTTGTTTAAGTGCACTAGGGAAAAAATAATATAGGTCTCAGGAATTCCTGTTTATACTTTAGATAAAACTGATGTCATACCTTATAGCTAAGAAAAGTAAAGGTTTCAAAATGCCTGTTTAGTATATTTAGTTCAGCTTAATCCCTGTCCTCCAAATGTTCTTTAACTTCTCAAACTCTTCTTTAACCCCACTTGGTAACATTTTTCATGCTCAGCAACACTGCCTGCTTATCCTCTTTAAACATTTAATTTTCAGGGACTGAGTGCATCCTTAGCACTCAGGTTTGAGCCTACCCCCACAGTAATAATGGGGACATACTTCCACCTCAAGTTTTACTTCATATAGAAGTCTGTTTGCACAGCTTTTTAATCTTTGTGAAGAAAACAAGGCACACTTTATATAACCAAAGGAAAAAACTACTTATTTACCCCTTCTTTTATTCTGTCATGTAGGCACCCAAAATCCCAATATTTAAGTATGTGCACCAATGAAGTGTCGCCCTTGGCATAAGTGTGTTTGTATGCACATGCATACCCCAAAGACATCTACATAGGTAAGATAGGTATCTAAGTTTGTATACAGCTGCTGTGATCAGAGATCACATACAATTTGGGGGAAGGTACCTAATGAAGACACTAAGTGAAAGTTAGGCAAACATCTGTAGTTCCAGCACTTGGGAGGCTGAAGCACAACGCTTGCTGTGAGCTGAGGACATCCTGAACAAAATAGCAAAATCCTCTCTTCCTCTCTCACACAAACAGCAAAGCATAAACACTGTACATCAGAAAGGACATTAAAGGCCATGATCTACGGAGAACAGATTGAGACTTCAAGGTGGAAAATGTGGTTTGTTCTGAGCTTTGTTCTCCAGACGGGTCTCACTGTGCAGCCCTGGCTATTCTGGAACTCACTGTGTAGACCTGACTCAGACATGCAACTGCCTCTGCCAGATGAGTACTGGGATTAGAGGTGGTTTGGTTTGGTTTGGTTTGGTTTAGTTTACTTTTGGTTTATGGAAACAGGGTTTCTCTGTGTAGCACTGGCTGTCCTGAAACTCACTCTGTAGACCAGGCTGGCCTTGAACTCAGAGATCCAACTGTCTGTACCACCCAAGTGCTGGTATTAAAGGTATGCACCACCATGCCCAGCTTAAAGGAGTTTATTAAAGGATTTAAGTGCTGGTCTGAGCTTAAAAAGGAAATATAACTGGATAGAGATGCCTCCATGGTTTAAGAGTATTGGCTGTTCATTCTGAGCATCCAGGTTCAAGTCCCAGCACCTACATGGAAGCTAACAACACTAACTTGTAACTCAAGTCCCAGGGAATCTGGCTCCCTCTGCAGGCCTCCGTGGAGACTAGGCACTGAAGTGATAAGACATCCTGGCAAATATCCACACACTTGAAAACAAAATTTAAAAAATAACTCTAACTGGTATGATTAAAGGTTATTAAAAAAATGTTCAAGTCAAAATAATTAAAGAGCTGTGATGAGCTAGGTAAGTACTCTAAAAGATCCCAGGGGAAGGAAGAAAGAGGATTCTAAGTAGGAGAGCCGTCTTTAAATTAAAACCCTATTCTAAAATTACAATGAACCATCAATGGGCTTCTAAGCAAGGACATGATCAAAGTAATTCTTTGTCGTCAAAGGGAACTTCAGGAAATAAGGAATGGGAAGGGGCCAAAAAACATTAAGTTATTTTGGAGAAATTACATTTTGAGATTTTGTTTAAGGTACTGAAACAATAAAATATGTTAGGAACACTCAGCAGACCATAGGTAAATTTCAGTGACTCTTGTAATGAAGGGCTCCTAGAGCAATATCCATTCCATAGCATATCACTTCTTAAAGGTACCTGGGGGCTAATATGAATCACAACCTCTTAGCAGCAGCTGATGAGCTTGAAGAGACTAGCCCACTCATCATGTGGCTCTGGCAGGCCTCGCCCTTCTCTCCCATTCCCTCTGCCTTTGCTAAAAAAGTTAATTATATTCCTAAAGCTAGCCAGCAAGGTCTTTCCTAATTTCGCTACTTCCTCCTCCTGAGGCTGCCTACCAAGGTCCAGCTATCAAAGTATTAAATCTAGCAATGAGAAGCCCCCTTTAGTTCACCAAATTAACATGCCCAATTAAAATTAAACACTAATCCTAACACAGGGTCCCCCCTCCCTATAACTTTTTAAACCACCATCTGCTTGTATGCCACGTCAAGAGGCAATCCTTTGTCCCTCTGGAATAAAGCCTCCTTCCCCCTTTTACCCTACCTCCTTTAGCACCATATCCTAGCCCATTCTAACAGACCTCCCCTTTTCCTCCTCTTAAAAATTACACCTGCAAGGTCATTCATTTGCTGCTGTTTTTCTGAGTCAGAAAGCAGCCACTTTGACTTTTCTTCCCCACTTAATATCTCTCTGTAAACACAGATGTTTGGGTGTGTTTTGTGGCTAATCCAGGATCTGGGAGGAAGCCCCACCATTTGGGGGATCTCCTTCGTAACTTGTAAATTCCCAGGGAAGCATACCTGAGATGAGGGTTCTAGGCCCTCTCATAGACAAGCATTTTTAAAAGGCATCTCAGATGATCCTAAACACTTGGTCCCTGCATTCCACTCCAGCCTTCTAATCTCCATAGTTCAATACCCAAAGGCTAGACACACCTGCTATCTCAATTATGAAGGTTAAATAAACATGCATATTAAACACTCAGCTTTGGCTGTATGTGACAGATGCTTGTCTGAAGTCGCTCCCCTTACCCTACAGAATGTAGATACTAGGCTGTCTGTAAAACAGACAACAGAATGGTTGCCCAGTAGACCAGACAGTCCCTGCTTTGCTGTGTTAGTGAAACCTACCCTCTTTCTATCCACTGCCACGAAGAAGCTTTTACATGGTCTTCTAACAGTCAGCCTACCTACTTCCAGTACTCTTTCCTCCAACCTTTCTCCTTCGTTTTCTACAAGACTTGGGGACAGAATTTTGAGTTACAAACTCAGTCTCTACAGGAACTGAAGGAGGAAAATCAACTTTTTAGTGCCTGTCTAGTCATGTTTATTCAGGTGCATGTATTCATTCCTTAGATGTTATAAACATACCCATTTCTGGAGCCTTGACAATAAGGCAAAATGTACAAATGTTATAATTACTTAAATCCATGTTCATTTTTCCCAAATTTTTGGATATTCTGTAGGCACTAGAAAACTTTAATAGACTCTGATCAGTAACATAAAACTTGTTGCTTTCTCCAAAACAACACCAGTCCCATATCACCCACAGACAACAATAGTAAAACAGAGTTATGAATTTTTCATTTATATTTGTGTTAAATATAAAATGGGGTTAAATTCTCGATCTTTGTAAATGAAATAATACAGTTTGACAGTGTTCTTTAAATGTCTGGTCATCTACCTTTCCTCCTCTCATTCTGTCTTGTCTTTACTTACCATATGTGCTTTATCCCATCTACATCATTCTGTAGGATCAATATACTTGGAATTCATTAAATTTCACAAACTTTAAAGATCCAACAAATTAGTTTATTTCTCTAAAATGAAAAATGAAGCTACTCAGTGGCTATTAGATTACATACTCGCCCTTATGTTAATAACTGACATTTTAAACTATGACATTTGCCATTAACTTATGTTACGAGATTATTCTAGGAATCAAAATGGTTTCGTACAACTTGACCTTTGCTATTTCGAAACACTTCACATTTCAACTTCATATATTTATCAAAAAAGACCTGAACACTTAAGACATTACAAGAGGCCACAGTGCATTTGTAAGTTCTTTGACCTTGGAAAAAGAGTATTACACACACTTCCAATGGTGTGTCTAAATCAGCTGCAGTTGAATGACAAGGCTTCAGTATAAGTGCATCAGGGCTAAATTAACAGGAAACTGCTTCATCTTGTCAAATCAGAGGTTCTCTTGCTTCAGGACTCTTACTTGAGATTTCTTCTTCTGCAAAATTGATTTTTAAAGGAGGAAAATAAGCATTGCAAAGAAAAGTAGGAACAATTCCAATAGCAGCAAATTTCTTGATTTCCAAAAGGCTCAATTTGTGCAAGACTCACTAATAAATAATAAAATTACCATTTCTACTGAAATGCCTTTTCTCCAAAAATCAATGCACTTCTCCTAGAATACTTTTCAAAACAACCAGTATTTAATTATCATGGGAAAATCAAAGTGATATGCAAGGAATCAATATAACAAGGCCCACATCTGTACTAAAATACTGAGATATAATTAATTCTTTATTATACAACTTTTAAAACATGAAAGTAAGGGAATTATGATTAATAAAATATGCTGGTCATTTGGTTTCAATTAACTTATAATGTTACAGGTTGAACTGTGCCACCAAGGCAGACAGACGTGGGATATATATAATCATAGGGACTATGAAAGAAAGTACCTCCTCTTACCCTAGATGAAGATATAGAGATATAATTATCACATTACCCACCATGTTCATGCAACATTCACTTGGTACAGTATTTATGAAAAGACAAGTGAATAGGAGATTAGAAATAGCCTGGGCTACATGGTAAATTTGAAGCCAGCCTGAACTATATAATGAGTTTGTTGTGGCTAGCCAGAGGTACACTGCTACTCACAAGTTGAGAGAATGGTTCACCAAGGGTGTATACACAGGTCTAGTTAACTCTTACCTTTTAAGTTAGGCAGAAATTCCCTGAGACTACATGGTAACGTAGTCCTCAATTTTTGCTCCACCGGAGAAACTTTAGTTAGTGATGATACAGACTGTGTTCTTTCATCAAAGGACATGTGGGGAGATGGCTTTGTGTAAAACAAGTCCTGAGTGCCCAAAAAATTATGTGTATCATCTGATTTCATGTCTTTGGATACAGGGCTCAATTCTACTTTGTCTTGTTCAAGTGTCTTGGAATTAGACAGGTGAGATTCTTGCCTTATTTTGTTAAGGGATTTCTTCAGAGCCTCGTAACGACTGAAAATAGCCTGAAAACTGTAATTCACTTCTGGAGTGGCTTGTCTTTTTCCATCATCATCTACAAAAGCATCACTGTGCACATCACTATTTGGCTCCAGTCTAAAATTGGTCTCTGAAGTAGTAGAGCTATTAAGACTTAGACGACCAACTTCTTCTGGAAGAGTTTCATGTAATATTCCAATGCCACTCAACCTCTGAAAAGAGTCCCAGAACAGAGTTTTATGTGTGGAAGGTTCACTGGAAGAAGCCTGTGAGTGGTCCAATATTCGAACAGACCCCTTTTCACTTCTACCCACCATTTCTATTCCACTGTCCACAGCAGGGGAAAATGCCTCCATTTGTCCAGTGTCTGAGAGCTGGGTGGTCACACACTCTAAATCTTGCTCACAAAACATTTTCTTATTTATCAAGTCTGACTCATATTCTGTAGGGAGATCACCAATCTGACTTGTCACTAAAGGTTTCTGAGGCACACTTTTGAGCTGGTCTGGAACAGCTTTTTCTTCAGGCAAAGAGGACTGATCAAAATCGGAGGAAAAAATAGCCATGCTTAGTTCCCTCTGATTATTCGGTACAGGTGAAGACTCTGGGGACACTTCTCTAGCTTTGACATCGACTAGAATCCCTTCTGAACTTCTGTTATCTTCATTTTCAACAGCTTTTCTCCATGAACTCCTAATTTCAGTTACTAATTAAGGTAGAACAAAAATGTAATTTACTATTTACATATTCCGAAACACAGATATGTAATTAAAATCTTTATGCTCCTGCCTCAGTCCAGGTTCCATATGCTTGCCGGCGGGATGACAAGCTTGAACATCAGGAAACTTCATCTCCAAAGGACCAAACTCAAGTCAGAACACCCAACAACAGCTGTTCCTGAAGTACACATACACCTCTACACAACACATGTGATTACATGCATGAAAAACATATTCTTGTCCATCCATGCCAGAAGTGGACAGAATTTTTTTTGATAAAGGACTAAATATTAGTATTTTAGGCTCTGTTAGCTATTTGATCTCCCACAACTCCTCAAATGTGGCATTGTAGCATGGCTATAAACAACATGTTAACAAATGAGCAAGGCTGTGTTAAACATAATTTTAACAAAAGACACTGCAAGACCCTATTTATTTCACTGGTTGTCATCTGAAGAACACCAACCCAGGCTGTCTCACTTTGGTATGAATTAAATAGCAGCAAAGAAGAAACTGTATTTAATCATTTACCCCAAACAGTCTACATTGATTAAATAAGGAAATATGTATCAGATATTTACCTACACCAATTGTAAGTACTAGGGGGAAGCATTTGACAACATGATTATTTTTGCCAAAGGATAAAACTCTAAGCACGCAAGCAGTGTGATGGCTGACTAAAAAATATAACCCACATAACTCACTAAACACATTTATTTGTTTGTTTGGGGTGTGTGTGTTTGTGCACATGTGCATGTGTGTGGGTGGCAAAGGTCAGAGGACAACTTCTAGGAATCCATCTTCTCCTTCCACCATGTGAGAGTTGGCTCAACTGGCCCCAGAATTTTTTTCAAGTGACCAAATAAAATATTTTACAGAAAAATAGCCAAGTAACACAATTAAAACAAGGTGATAATATCAGAACTGGTTATGCTTCTGTGTAGGTACACTGAAGTTACAAAAGATTACTGATAAAAGGGTGTTGTATAAATGTAGGTGATCACACCGGATACTTCAACAAAATTCATTTTATCACAGAAACAGTTTTAGATTGTTTCCAAAAAACTGTAAGATCATGCGTCTACCAGTGGCAATATCTTAGAGTGGGGAAAAAGGGACAGAAAGCACTTACTCAAGTTTTCTGGAGTTCGGGGAATTTGTTTCCTTGGTAAGAAAGGATTAGAAATTAGAGTATCAATTAGCTCCTCCAATTTTACTTCTTTTCCTTCAGAGAACTGTGGTGAATCAGACAGAACTACTCTGGTAACCTGCAACAGGGAAAAGAAAAAATAAATATGACCAAGCCCAGACAGAAACACGACAAGAACTCCCGTAGGAACGAACGGTGGATGCAGCACAGCCAGCAGCCAGCAGCCAGTTACAGATGACAGGTTAGACAACAATGAGGCTCCCTGACATGCAGCAGACAATCCAGGTACCACCCTGCTGCACAATGGAACACAAGACTATTTTCTGTTATAATCTTAAACTGATAATACAAAAGACCAAAGAACAGGGTTCTTACAATTTATTTATTTATTGTATATACAGTATTCTGTTTGCATGTATCCCTGCAGGCCAGAAGAGGGGACCAGATCTCACTACAGATAGCTAATGAGCCATCATGTGGTTTCTGGGAATTAAGCTCAAGACCTCTAGAAGACCAGCTAGAGTTCTTAACCACTGAGCTATTTCTCCAGTCCCTAGTTTAGAATCCTCATATGCAACCAAACACAGTGATTCATGCCTTTAATCCCAGCACTCAAGAGACAGAAGTAGATGGATCTGAGTTCAAGGTCAGCCTGATCTACACAGTGAGTTACAGGGCAGTCAAAGCTACACAGTGAAACCATGTGAATGAGTGTCTGTGTATTGGGGGGGGGGGGGTCATTTATACTCAGGAAGATTTTATTATTTTTTTGGTTTTTTAAAACAGGTTTCTTTGTGTAGCTCTAGCTGTCCTGGTACTTGCCAGTAATCCCAGGATTTCAAAGACAGAGAAAACTGACATGAATTCAAGGACAGCTGGGGCTACTAAAAAAAAAAAAAAAATCTGTCTCAAACCACTAAATAAATATTCATTTTACTTTCAGTTGCATGAGATTTTAGGATTCTCTTCTTCTATCCCACCCTATGCCATTATTAATCTAAATTCTTTTTATTGTGTTTTGGGGTTTTTTCTTTTCTTTTTTATGATTTCCTTTTATGTGTATGAATGTTTTTGCCTGCACACATGTGTATATACCACATGTACACCTGATTAATCCCCTCAAATGGGGTTTATGGGTGGCTGTGAGCCAAAATGTAGATGCTAGAAATTAAACCTGGGTCCTCTGGACAAGCAACAAGTGCTCTTAACCACTGAGCCATCTCTCAGGCCCACAGTTTTTGTTTTGTTCTGTTTTCTAGGACAGAGTCTCATGTAGCCTAGGATTGCCTGAAATTTGATTATTTAGCAGAGAATGACCTTGAATTCTTGACCTTCTTCCCTCCATTTCCCAAGCACAATTTAAATTCAGTTAACCTGAAAATGTGTATTATTTTACAGAACTATGGAATTCCAATTTTGAAAGGACTGATCATCTTTTTATTGTAGTCAATAATAGAATATTAGAGACTTAGAAGCATTTAGAAACCATGAGATTAGCCTCATGCTATAAATAGAATAATTGGCATTAATCCCATTCTCTGATATTGTACAATGCTAATTTAGTCAGAACTGATAAAGGAGACATAAATACCCGAATACAGTCTAAAGCCTATTTTTAGGTCACTTGGAAATAAACTGTGATATGCTATAATTGCTTAATCAAATACTAATTCAAGTAACGTTAAGTTTTAAAACAATAAAGATAGCAACAGTGAAAAGCCTGATTAATTCATATAAACTGACCTGTGAGTACTGATCAAGTCACTTGACATAAAAACAGAGCTACCTAAGGAAATCAAATAAAGGCTGGCAAGCTGGCAGGTAAGCTAAGTGAGTTGCTGCAGTGACCTGAGTTTCACTGCAGGAACCCATGGTAGAAAGAGAACCAACTCCTTGTAGTTGCTCTCTACCTCCACATACATACTGAGGAATACAAGCACGCGCGCGCGCACACACACACACACACACACACACACACACACACACACACACACACACACACACACACACACCCCAAAGAACTTTTTCCATTTAAAAAAATTAAGGGAGGCTGGAGAGATAGCTCAGGTTTTGAGAGTGCTGCTTTCAGGTCATGAGTTCAATTCCCAGTAACCACATGGTGGCTCACAACCATCTGTGAGTGATAGACAGACAGACAGATCAAGATCGATCAATCTTTTAAAAAAAAAAAAAAGTAAGAGAGCCAAAGAGATAGCTCAGCTGCCAAGAGCAGTTGCTCCTGCAGAGAACCCGGGTTTGGTTCCCAGTATCCACATGATGGCTCACAATGACTGAAACTCTTACCTCCAAGGGATCTAACCCCTCTTTTGACTTCTTCAGACACTGCACACACATGATGCACATACATACATGCAGGTAAAACATATACATACACACACACACACACACACACACACACACACACACACACACACACACACAATTAAACTAAAAAAAACTTTAAAGAAAAGCCAATGAATTGATACCAATGTCTTTAGTCATTTTGGAAATATTTAGAATACAAGGTCAACAAAACCTGTGCTCAATGGTATCACAGAATCTTGGTTCTTATATTTTAAAAAAAAAAAAAAAGGTAAGAAACACAAAAAAAGTATTCAAATAACTATAATCATTGAGGGTATGTACCTAACAATTTATGCAATAGTTTAATTCATAAACTACTAGCTATGTATTATGTTTATACATTGAATGAAAGAATAGGAAATAACTAGTATATAGATCTTAACTAAATGTTTTTAAGAAATCTACTTTTACTTTTTTAAAAAGGCTGACTTTATTTTAGCCTTAAGTTTTATGAAGATTTTTTTTTTTTTTTTCTGAGACAAAGTTTCTCTGTGTAACAGTCTTGGCTGTCCTGGAACTAGCTCTGTACATCAGACTGGCCTCGAACTCATAGACATTCTCCTGCCTCTGCCTCCCAAGTGCTGGTATTAAACCACCTGACAATTATTTATTTTCAATTATGTGTTACGTGCATGTCCATGGGTTCAATGGCTGAAGAGGACAGAAGAAAACATTAGTTCACCTGGATCTTGAGTTACAAGTAGTTGTGAGCCACCTTGCACGGGTGCTAGGGACAACTCAAGTCCTCAGCAAGAGCAACACATGCTCTTAACCACTGAACAATCTGTGACCTCCTTTACTTCAGATTACCCCTGTGACTCAACAACTGTACTCCAATTCTGATCCCAACACCACTTAGAAAATAACAGATATGAAGCATGAAGCCAGGCAATGGTGGCACATATATTTCTTCCCAGCAGAGGCAGGCATATCTGAGTTCAAGGCCAGCCTTATCTACAGAGTGACTTCCAGGACAACCAAGGCTACACAGAGAAACACTGTCTCAAAAAGAAACAAACAAAAAAAGAAGAAAGGAAAGAAAGAAAAATAAATGAATAATCTTTCTCTAACCTCCTCTACCAGACGATCTTGCTCTTTCTGGAATGGATCACTCTTTTTTTTCACTGGCAAAGATCCTGTGAATACATTAGTTTGTATATTCTTTGCAATATCTGATAAAGGAGAGTCTTCCACATCAGAGTCTGGCACTTTCTTAAAACTCATTATGTTCTTCTCTTTGGGAGTTCTCATATTTGGATCCTGAAAAGAGACATACATTATAACCTTAATGATCATGCCTGATTTTGAAGCTCTCTTCATTCCAGATCTTGAAGCTAAAAACAATCCTCCATTTGAGATTCATGGGTTAAAAGTGGATCTGTTTTACATGTTGAGACAGGGTCTTACTAAGTAAGCCAGGCTAACCTTAAACTACAATGTAGCCCAAGCTAGCCTCTCCTGGAGACACTTATGTTTCAGCCTTTCAAGGACCAGGATCACAGGCAAGTGTCACCACACTTGCCAAAGACCATACTATTGTGAAAGTATGTGTTCACTGGCAGAACTAAATAATCTAAGGCAAGAGAATTGCCATGAGTTCAAGATTGGCCTGGACTATATAGTTGAGTTCAAGAAAAGAGCCTAGGTCATTTAGCAAGGCTGTGTTTTGCTGTGGAACAATCTTCATATACTGTAGACATGTACTGTTCTCATTGTTAATAAACAGATGATTGGCTGATGGCTAGGCAGGATTTTCAGGGCAGAGAGAATGCTGGGAAGAAGAGTGGAGACAGAGGAGTAGAAAGCCAGAGGCAGAGGAAGCAGGATGTGTATAGAAAATGAGGTTAACAAGCCATAAGCCACGAGGTAGAACTTAGATAAGAAATATGGGTTAAGTTATGAGTTAGCTACGAACAAGCCTGAACTATTGGCTAAGAAACTCTGCCTACAGTGTCTTACAACAAATCAACAACAAAAATGAAAATTGTTTTACAATATACCTTTTCAAGTGGTGTAAAACTGTTTGTATCTGATGATGAAGCACACTGTAAAGAGAAAGGCGCAGGGCTGAAAAAAGAAGACAGCAAGTCTAAGTTATAAGTAGGGAGGCATTCACTAACTTGATATATCTGAATATCTTAAGAATTTGTCTGCCCCGTATCTGTCCATGACGATTTCACTCAATTCGTCCTGGTCATCGAAAGGCAATTTATTCTAGGGAGGTCTAGTGACAATTAGAGCAGTACCTCTGCCCAATTTGTGTATCATTCTCCCAATTAACTCAAACTTTCTTACTTTCGGTTAATAACATTTTTACATGGTTAAATGACTTGACATACAACAATTTCAATACAACTTAAAAATTAATTCAACTAATTGCATTAGTACAATGTCCTCAACATGTTAATACAATTTCACAGTAGCAGAGAGTTTAATATTCTTTTACCTAGACATGGTAGCACACATCTGTAATATCAGACAGCTCAGTGACAAACACCTGTCATGTCAACCTTACAACTTGAGTGCAAGCCCCAGATTCCACAGCAGAGCAAAACAAACTCTCAAAAGTTGTCCTCTAACTTTTGCACACACACAAGCACACTTGTGCCCCTACCACACACACGTAATATTTTTTCCTTTTAAAATATTTTGGTTTTTATCATGGGTGGGGTGGTGGAAGACTTTTATATAACACCTACAAGTTAAAATCCCCAAGGATAAAGTATAAATATACTGTCCTGTATGAAATCCTGAAAGTTTCAGCACAAAGTACTGAATTTCTCTAAAATATAATGTAAATTACTTTTAAATATGAGAAAAAGCAAATAGCAGTCCACCCACCTTAAGCCTCCAATGACAGTGTGGCTGTATTAAATACTCTTTATACTGCTCCCTTCCCAGGCCATGAAAAAACACAATATAATAGTTAAAATACGTATGTTCACGGAAGTGCAAGTTTTAATAATAGTAACTGGTAAATACCCTCTTCTGCCCTCCACAGGCACCTGCCCTCATGTGCACATACCCAAACACATGCACACATAACTAAAAATACTACAACCAAATCTTAAAAAATTAAAAAAATAGATGGGAATTCACAAGATGGCTCAGCAAGTAAAGCCACTTGTTGCCAAGCCTTAACCAACTCACAAGGTTGTCACTGACCCCACACATATGCAATCATACATCCACACAGAAATAAGTGTAAAAACAATACAAGGGCTGGAGAGATGGTTCGTGTGCTTATTACACAAGCTGGGGGACCAGAGTTCAGAGCCTCAACAACCAACCACATAAAAGGTCAGACATGGCAGCCCAAACCTGTAATCCTAGGAGACAGAGACACAAGGACCTCAAAGGCTCACTAGTACCCAACCTGGCTGATTTGTGAGATCCAGGTTCAATGAGAGTAATAGAAGATGCCTAGTCATTATCTTTGGCCTCCACATATGCACACTGAACACATACATGCATACATAAGCATGCACCACACATGTAGGCATAATAAATACATCATCTGTTCAGTGTACCTGTGTCATTGTTACATAATAACTCTTACAATAAAAATATGTGGATTACATACATTAATTCAGAGTTCTTTACTTTTTTTTTAATTTGGTGGGGGGGGGGCTGTGCATTTCACAGCACACATGTGGAAATCAGTGACAACTTGTAGGAGTCAGTTCTCTCTTTCCACTATGTGAGTCCAGGATCAGAATCAAACTCAGGTCCTCAGGCTTGGAAGTAAATACCTTTACCCACTAAGGTATCTCACTAGTCACCAGTTTTTACTTTATATCAGGCACTGATTGTAAGAGCTAAAATAGGACAACAGAAAACAGGCAGTAAAGAAAATAAATTCCTGGAAGGAAGTGGTAACAAGAAGGCTAAGTTTTTCATATTAAATCCTATTAGAGTAAATCAGATGTCTTCTAATTTTTTTTCTAAATAATGCTAACTCTATAAAACATCAAAAACTTCAGTATAAGCCCAGCATTTAATTCTAGCACAGAGGCAGGTGAGTCTGAGTTTGAGGTCAGCCTATATTCCAAGAGAGCCAGAGCTACAGAGTAAGACCCTGTCTCAAACAAACAAAAAAAAAAAAAATTCAGTATATGGACCGGAACAATGACTCACCACTAAGAGCCCTTGCAATTCTTGCAAGTGTTTGCTTACTACTAGCACCTACAATGCAGCACACAACACTATAACTTAAGTTCCAGATAATCTGGCACCCTTTTCTGGCCTCCAAGGGCACCAGGCACGCACTCAGTACACTTATACACATGCAAGCAAAGTAATCAAACACATACTAAACATAAACTAAAAAGAAAACTTTTATAAAACAGATGAAAACAGTAAGCTGTGCAGGCTAAAGAAGGGTGAACCAACTGAAAGCTAACTTAGACCCAGCCACTACAACAGAAAGCACTAGTTAGAAAAGTCCCACCAAACCAGATGACCTCAAATGCCCCAAAATTTCAGATTCAATAGAAGAGTGATTTCAAAAATGGTTCACACATATAGAAAAGGGCAAAATTCCCAAAGTTACCTTATGCAATTTCCAAACCTGCACTTTCTTCAAAACTCAGATAATCCCCATATAACACAATATTCAGGTAAGTAAAAGAAAAAAAAAAAAGCCCAGGCACAGCGAGTATTGAATGTCTTCTGGAAATGTGAGTCTGTAGTACAAAGACACTGTCTGCTTGCGAGGAAGAAACCAAACACTATTCTACAGTACATAGAGTTCAAAGCTAGCTCAAGATGAGACTGGAAACAATAGCATGAAAGTCAAGTGTTTTACCTGTTGGCTAGATCACACACACTTCCCAGGGTATCGGCTTCTCTTCTGCTACCACTTTCTTGGTTATGTTCTTTATGTGTATCTAAGGAAGTGCAAAAATTATTCTTTTAGTTATGTTTGTGTAGTCTAACATTCAAGGACCTCTAGAAATGGTAGAACACTTTATACTTTCCCCTGAAACCAAGGTCCAAATACAGGCTTTGTTAATGTTGCACAAGTGCTCTATCACTGAGCTTCATGCCCAACTGTTTACAATAATTTCTAAATGAAAGAAAACAGACAAATGACATAAACACAAGAAAGGAGACAAGGGCATAACTCAGTGAGTAAAACTGATCTGCCATACAAAGCTGATGTGCTTTCATAATAAAAAGGCTCTGTGTCATTACTGGAAAGCGACAGTCTGAGGGAAAGTCCCACTACAGCTTAGCTCTCACGGGACCACATCAGACTGCTCAAAAACATCTTAACTCTAGCTCTGAGTATCTGACACGTCTTCTGCCCTCCATGGGCACCCTCACACACATGTTCACATACACAAACACACATATAAAATCTTTTTAAAAATTAAAGACAGACAATATTAGAGAAGACACAGGAAAAGAAATTCTCCAACTTAGAAAATAATGAAATACACACACATACACAACCCAAATAAATAAGAACAAACCCACATTTAGGTACATATCAATAAACCTGCATAATATAAAAAGAAAAACCTTATAAGCAACAATAAATTGTAACCTAATTGTATACAAATGAATGACAATGAGACAAATGGTCAATATGTCAGAGTTAACAGAAGGAAGGAAACTAGACTTTATCATCAAAGTCCTAAAGATGATTTACCAATCCGGGATTCTAAAACCAGACCAACTACTGCACAGTACTGAGTAAACACCAGGTTTGGTGTCTCACATCTTTAATCCCAAACCTCAGAGAGGCTGAAGCATTCATGTTTTGCAAATGATAGGATTCTATCCTTTTGAGACATTTTTGTTACCAAAACAGAGATTTTTATGCTATCTACATTTCACAGTAATATCTACATTTCACAATAAAAGTAACTGGTGAGTAAAGGCACTGTGCCACCAAGCCTAATTATCTGAGTTTGATCCTGGTAGCTCACATGGTAGAGACAGAAAGAACTCATCGTTCTGCAACCACCACACATGCACTGTTGAGTATACATACACATGCACATACATAAGTACACAAATGAATGTAAAAATTACTTTAAAAATATAAGTAACTATTATAAACAATGAGAAATAAGCCAAGTACAACTGTACACACTTGTACTCCTAGCATTCAGAACACAGAGGCAGGAGGACAGCTCCAAGGTCCAGGGTAGCCTGGTCTACACAGTTTGTTCAAGGTCAGTCAATGCTTTACAATGAAACACTGTCTTGAAAAGGGCCTGGGTGGGGCTTACCAACCTGGAAGTGAAGCAGGATACTTTAAAAGTACACTCCTTCCATGTACTTCCTCTGACACAGGATCAAATGAAAGGGGAGACATGGGGGGCAAAAGATCCACAGCCTTAAAATACAAAATTCACAATATTCAGTAAACACTCACAAACAACCACAATGGCAATGCTAAGTTCATCAAAGAATGGATTTTTCCCCTAGCAATAAATTACCAAACACTTTATTCTGTGACTTTTTTTTTTTTTTTAATTTTTATGTGTATGGATGTTTTGTCTACATGGATGTGCACTACATATGTGCCTGGTGTCCACGGAAGCCAGAAGAGGGCATCAGATACCCTAAGATCGGAGTTTTAGCGGTGATAAGGCCCCAGTGGGTGCTAGGCTCCTCTGGAAAAGGATATGATAAGCCATCTCTCCCACCCCTGCATTGTTTTTAAATCAAACAATTCAATATTTGTATAAGCAAGTTTCAAATTTTATTTAGTAGTATTTTTAACCCTCTGAATTTAAAATGACTAACTATAAATAACAGTAGCTTGATGAAAAACTATTATATACTTGGAAAAAGTATAGAAATTAATTAAGACATTTGAAATCCAGATCAGTCTAGGATAAACATCTACACATCAGGTACCTGTCTCTAAAAAGCTACTGAGCCTAGCATGGTGGTCCAGGCTTATAGCCCTAGCATTTGGGAGCAAATGCAAGATGAGCAGGTCATATTCATCATCAGCTACACAGCAAGTTTAAGGCCAACTTGGGGTATATGAAACTAGAAATAACTTGGGTTGATGAGATGGCTCAGAAGGTAAAAGCCCTTGCCAGGCAAGCCGAAGGGCCTGAGTTTAACTGCAGGAACACAAGTGAAAAGGGATGGAAAGAACTGACTCCATAAAAATCATCCTGTGTCCTCTACATGTGCAACACAGCACATACGTGTTGCCCCACCTCCATCACACATACAACAATAATAAACTATTTTTTTAAACCCTTTACTTCAATGTAAACACAATAAATACACACACACTTACTTCTAGGTTACTGTAACATAAATTAAAAGACTGTTAAAACTTACACAGGAAAATTGCCAAAATTAAACTCTTCTCCAAACCCCAAGTCTACAGTACTTACTGAAGCCCCGCCTTTAATTAGATTGAAAGGAGACAGACCAAGAAATTCTTTCCACTTCTTATGCCATTTTCCTTCCTTTTCGAGGATAGAATGTCTTATTGCAGTGATGTTCTCATTTATTTTATGCCTATGATATCATAAGAAATAACTGTATTTAAAGAACAGATAAAAATACAGCACAATTTAAGACAACAGTACAAGGGCAAAGAAGAACATAAAACAAAGATTAACCATTAAACTACATATAAATTGAATTAACTCTCATAAGTGACTCTTTAGAACTTAAAATACGCTTTTTCTCCTTTTAAAAAAGCAATCATATGATTGCATCTACAAAACTTTTTTTTGCAACAGTCACATACAGTATAGGCTGGCCTAAATCAACTTAACAGAAGGTGGCCTGAACTCCACACCCCCCTGCCTCTGCCTCCCAAGTGCTGGGATTGCAGGCGTCTGCCACAGGGCATGTTTTCCCCGAGCTCCAACCTTCACTCTGAATCCCACTCACTCCCACTCCATCAACCCCTAAAAGGAGCCAAGCTCATGGTCTCCCTACTCAAATGAGAACTTTTCTCATGCTCAGTTTTCAGGGGAATCTCACTCTATAGAGCAGGTTAGTCCCAAACTCATAATCCTCACGCCTCAACCTCTCAAGTACTAGGGTAAGTTACAGGCATGTATAGCCATGTATGAGTTCAAAGTTAACATGTTCTACATAGTGAGTTCCAAGCCAGCCAGGGCTGAAAAGTGAGACTCTATCTCAAAAACAATAGAATTATCTTAAGGCAAATAACTTATTCCAAAAAAGATAGTAACTATATTATTTGTCCTTTTATCTCTAGAAATTTATTACATATATACATATATAAGACTCTTGAATGCCAGTATTCTTAACTTATTTCCCAAAGCTGAAGAATTATACACAACTACTGCTGGGAAAACCACTGTATCCACCCCATAACAAAATAACAAAAGATCTTTCTGTGTACCTCATATGCTTCATATCTGACAATCTTTCCCTCTGAAATTTGGTTTCTTTTTCAAGGTAATGAAGGTCTATGGTCAATCTTGTTTGGTCAGTCTTACAATGTTCATGTTTCATTACTTTCAAGATTTCATTTAACAACTGAATAATTGTTAAGAGGTTCAATTTTCCAGCCTCATAAACATTTCCCATCTGCAACTAAAGATTCAGAAGGGGGGGAGAGAAGCAAAGATCTGTAGGTTCTTATGGTAATAAGCTGTTACACATTTATGATTTTTACTATTAAATAACATTACCTTAAGGAATAAATCACCACCCATATATGCCCATGCAGGTATATATATATGTATGTACACACACACACACACACACACACACATGCACTCAGGAAAGAACCAAAATAGTACTATCTTCATACTAAGCAGTCTTAAGCTCTCTATACTATACAAAACTGCAACGAAGACATAAGAAAAGCAAATGTATGCAAATACACACCCTTTTGCCAGGACCTCTATGAAAACTTCGCTAGAGATGATAAATAACACAAACGCTGGGAGCAGTGGGAAATCACTGAGTTGAAAAGAAATATAAGAAGCAGTGACTGGGCCAGGTGTGGGTGGCGCATGCCTTTAACCCCAGCACTTGGGAGGCAGAGGCAGGCAGATCTCTGTGAGTTCAAGGCCAGCCTGGTCTAAAGAGCGAGTGCCAGGATAAGAAACCCTGTCTCGAAAAACAAACAAACAAAAAGCAGTGACAGTGTTTTAACACATTTCCTTAACAGCAAAGCTTACCTGGCCTATCTGCTCCTCAATTCTGTCAAGCAAGAGCCTTGGAATATTAACAGCAACATTAGTTCCATCCAAAACACACTGGTTAACAAGACTGAATACTGAACTAACAACTTCTCTCTCCTTTTCCAAAAACGTGAGTGTCTCATTCACTGAAGTCCACAAAGACCGAACCTTTGAAAGCAAAGCAAAACAAAATATAAAATATATGTACTCTAAGAAAACATTGGCATAAATATTTGTTCACCCCTACTAACAAAAGAAATAAGAGCTAAAAAGAAAAGTGATTGCATTCTGTTTAAAGTAATGATATTATCTCCAAATGGCCTTGAAAATATTTTTTCTTTTCTTTTTTTTTTTTTCTTTTTTTGAGATGAGAGGACTTGAGACAGGGTCTCACTACATAAGCGTGGCTGGCAAAGAACTGGCTTAGACCACACTAGCTTCCAACTCAGAAATCACCCTGCCTCTGCCTCTTGAGTGCTAGGATTAAAGACTCGTGCTATCACAGTTGACCTAAAGAATTTCTTAGGGAAAATATAGCTTATATAATTTCCAAACAAACTAAAGAAATTTTTATATGCCATACAAGAATTGTATTATATATGGTAAGCTCAAAAATGAAGAAAACAAATGCCTCTTGTGTGGTGGTGGCGTACCCCATTTTAAGCCAAGTACTCAGGAGACAGAGGCAGACAGATCTCTGTGAGATCTAGGCCAGCTGGATCTACATACTGACTTCCAAGATAGCCAGGGCTAAGTATCCAGACCCTGTCTCAAAAAAACAAAAAAGAGAAAAAAAAACAAACAAATGAAAGATGAAGTAAATAAGCAGGATCCAGTCAGAAAAAAACTCACAAAAGCAAGTGAGCAAGCCACATCCTTTTCATAGTGGTAAAATAAATGTGAACATTAACTCCGTTTCAATGGGTATTTTTTTAAAAATAATTTTCCTATATTTTAAACATTTTATTATTATTATTTTATGTGTCTGAGTGTTTTGCCTACACATATGTCCGTTTCCCAGATTCACACATGGCTAGCTAAGGCCAGAAAAGCAAACAGATCTCCTGGGACTGGAATTACAGGTGACAGTCAGGGGTATGTGAGCTAGAAACCAAACCTGTGTCCTCCAGAAGAACTGCCATCTCTCCTGCTCTTCCTTATGCTTTTTAAAGTAACATTCTACCCTCATACGCTAAAGGTTCATTACAGAAAACTTAGAAAATACAGAAAACAAAACCTTTCCACCAATGCCCTACTATTAACATTTTGTTAATCCCTGTGTGTGGATATATCTATTACATTTTTCAACAAAATTAAAGTTGTTACATATGTCAGGTTTCTGAAATATACAAAGACTTACAAAATAAACAAACCCTCTGTATCTCACCTTTTGAATTTTCTCTTGTATATTACTCTGATCATCACAGGGGTCCATTCTAATAAAAAAGAAAAATAAATGATTGAATTAGCCATTAAAAAAAATTCACATGGTAATTTTACATCCAAGAAACCAACTGGTCTGCAAATCTACTAACAGGCATTTCAGTTTTAAAACATAATAATGATGGTGGTGGTGGTGGTGGTGGTGGTGGTGGTGGTGGTGGTGGTGGTGGTAAAGTTCTCAGCTGGGTATGATAGTGCATTCCTTTAATGCTAATGCTCAGTAGGCAAAGACACACAAATCTGTATGAGTTCAAGGCTAGCCTGATCTATATAAAGTCTCAGACCAGACAGGGCTACTACCCACACACATTCTTAGATCCTGTCTTAAAAACAAAAAGAACTCAAACTGAAACCAATAATAATTTTGAAGAACTTTATTAAAAGATAAAAATATTCTAGTCCTAGCATTTACTCTATTTCTATTGTTAGTAGTTTCATCACTAGTAAAATTCAAGATCTAAACTTTGTGTAAAGTACAGCTCTAAAAGTCACTCGCCTTTTAATTTGGTTTTGTAAGACCATGCATTCTGATTTCAAATTTCGTATTTGCTTAGTAGACAGACTGCAAGACAAAACAGAAAAGAACATTTCAATTATAATAAATAGGTACGGCCCACTTGTTTATTTTTTCTTTTCTTAACTAATATTTTAACAGTAAAATTAAAGGGACCACCAAGATGAGTCAATAGGGTAAAGCACTTGCCTCCAAACCTGACATCCTGAGTTCAATCCCCAGACCACACTGCAGAAGGTGAGAATCAACTTTCAAAAGTTGTCCTCTGACTTCCACTTGCACAATATGGAGTGTACATACAATACAAGTTTATTTTTATATATAAAAGTAAAGGGGCAAACTATTCTGTGACAGTCTTGCCTGTCTCATTTCATGCTGTGACACCAGTGCACACAGAAAAAAGATTTGCTGAGTAGATAAACACATATAAATACTACAAACTGGAGTGTGCCACATGCCAACCCTCCAGATGTAGAAGAGGAACACAATTCAATGCTAGCCTGGTCTACATGGCAAGGTCCAAGTCAGCCAGGACTTCATGGTGAGACCCTCTCAAACAACGACAGATAGACAAACAGACAAGATACAGTATTCTATAAAGTGACAATAAAGTACAAATATGGAGTACTTGTTGGGAGGTATAAAATATCTATTCAAACTATAAAGTAAACATTAAATACATAACAGAAACATGAAAAAATTTACATAACTCTACTTCCAAAGAGATCAAACACCCTCTTCTGACCTCTGTGGGCACCAGGTACATGTGATGTACAGACTTATGTGCAGGCAAAGCACACAAACACAAAATAAAAATAATTTTAAAATGTGTATAATTAAAATGCAATATTAATAGCCAAGAATTTGAAGTAGGCATAGATTATTTCTAGGCTTGTTTATATCGGTATTTATTTTAAAAAAGAACTTTTCTAACTTTAAAATATTACTTACTGTGCATTTTCCTGGTATTTTTGAATAACATAATTTTCTCTTTGCAAAATTCGTAAAAATCTGTCACGTGCTACATGGCATCTGGCAAGGCACTTGTGCATATCTTGTGGCTTTGAATGAAATGTTTCTGCAAAATGCACAAAATCTATATATGAAAGACAAAATCACAGGTAATATCACATGAGCTCGTCTTTCCAGTAAGACAAACAGGAGAAAATAAAACGTGCCATTTTTTAAACAACTCTTCACTTTGTTACTAATGACCAATGAAGAAGAATCCATACAAACATAGCACAGGTCAGATTTTTATCTATAAATCCTACTGTTAAGACAGATCAATAATAAAGATAAGGATATTCTTCCAGACAGGTTCTCTACACTACACTTAAACAACTTATCCAGCTGGGAGGTGGTGGTACCTTTAATCCCAGCACTCAGGAGGTAGAGACAGGTAATCTCTGTAAGTTCTAGGCTATCCTGGTCTACAGAGTGAGTTCCCGGATAGCCAGAACTGTTAACACAGAGACACCCTGTCTCAAAAGAGAAAACATTCACATCCTAGCATGCTGCACAGAAAACTCCAATGTCTAATTACTTGAAGGAAATTAATTCACTGAATTCAGAAGTCACCTAGACATTGAAAATCTTAACTAAATTACTTTAAATCAGAAGCTGTGTTCAGAAGTTCAAATACAAAATAAATTCCAATACAAAATAAATTCTTATTAAATCCAAATTCTTAGCTAGGCATGATCCTATGATTCCAGTAGTTGGAAGGTAGTGGCAGGAGGATCAGGAGATTAAGGCCAACCTTGACCACAGAGAGAGACCAAGGCCAGCTAGGGTTACTCCAAATAAAGTAATAAAAAATCCAAACATACATATTTTATGCAAAATAGTTTGGATTACATGTAATTAAGATAAATTATCTATTTACAGAAAAATTGTCACAATGCTAATGTTGCATTAAATTTAAAATATGTAAGTAATTATAAAGCTTGATCATAGATGTTGAGAACATCACACCTAGAAATAGCAGGTAAATGCATGCACATATAGCACATTGTAGCACTGTTCTCATAAAGGTTAGCCAAATGGCTCTCAGCTATAGGTTGGGTAAACAATTTAGGGTGATTTTCTCAGTATAGTAAAAAGCAGTTCTAAAAAAAAAGAAGAAAGGTCTACTATCAACTGACACCCAATGATCTCCAAGTGGGAAAAAAGATCCAAAACCAGGGCTATAGTCACATTTATGAGCTTCATTCATTTTTTTCACTTGGTTTGGGAGTGTTTTTTAGACAGTCTTACTATGAGCCCAAGCTAACCTAGAATTTATACTGTAGTCCCAGGCTGACCTCAAACCGTCACTCTTCCTGACTCAGCCCTCAGCCTCCCAAGTGTTAGAAATATAAGCATTATTATGACACCAGATGAAGTCTCCTATGTAACCCATGAAGGAGGCCTAAACTCACTCACTATACACCACAAGGTGGTTCTCAACTTGAGATCTTCCTGACTCAGCCTTCTAGAACTTAGATTATAGGCATGAATTGCCATTTCTAGATCATTTATTATTTAAATGTGTGTATGTATGTGTGCCTGCTTGTCCACATGTGTATTTGGTTTTTTTATAGTTTGGATTGTAAGCCTAGCCTTTAATGGCTGAGCCATCTTTTCCAGCTGTGCTGGCACACACCTTTAATCAAAGCACTTGGGAGGCAGAGGCAGGCAGATCTCTGTGAGTTCGAGACCAGCTTGGTCTACAAGAGCTAGTTCCAGGACAGCTTCCATAAACCACAGAGAAGTCCTGTCTCGCTTGCTGGTCAAAGTGGCACATGTCTGTAATCCTAGTACTAAGAAGACTGAGGCTAGAAAAGAAGGAGGGAAGGTAGAAGAGGGGTAAAGGAAGGAAGGGAGAGGAGGGAAAACAGGAGCACTGCTTGTATTACTCACTACACTGCTGCTTATACAACTGAAAACATCAAAACTGCCAGGCCTGGTCCTCACTTAGTCCCAGCACTCTGAAAAAAGAGGCAGGAAACTCTGTGTTTAACACCAAGTCATCTACATATTGAGTTCCAGGACAACCAGAGTTAGGTAGAGGTCCTGAATCAAAAAAAAAAAAAGGGGGGTGGGGTGGGGAGGAGACATCAGAGTTAAAGAACATGGTGATATATTTTGATTTTTAACAGTGTACTAAGTGACTTGAATAGTCATGTCATAAAATTAGAAGACAGGCAGGGGTCAGTACTTCAGCACTTTTGCTATATTTTAGGAGCAAAAATAAAACAGCACCATAGTTAATAAACTATAAATACTATTCATTTTTATTAACTCTCAGAATTCATTTATTTGATTTCTATGAACCAATAAATTAAAAAAATTGAAATAAAAATTATCACCCAAAGCCAATAACTGAACTAAACTTGCAACAATATTCACCACACTGGATTAGAGGCCTGATTTGTCTCAGTGGCTATTTTTAAGCTAAGCAAGGTAAGAATGGATTTCTACACTTTTTTAAAGGCAGGTTCTCACTAGGTAATGCAGGTTTGCCTGGAACTTGCTGTATAGCATAGGTTAGCTTACATGTCTGTTCATCCTGCCTCTACTTCCAAGTGCTAGGATTATACCCATGTGCCACCATGCTGGTAGTTTCTGTACTTCTAAAGGGTTGTAAAAGAAAATTATGTAATCCATAAAGCCTAAAATATGTATCTAACCATCCTATGGAAAATGTACACTAATCCCTGCACTAGAAAATAATAGAGTAACACAGATATTGACAGGCTCATTATGAGGTTTCAACCATAGATGAGTAAATATTAACCATTTACTTTTTTTCAGGCAAATGAATGATTTAACTCAATTTGATCTTGATTTAAAATTATGAACAATTAACAATTCAAGAATAAAAACAAGGTGACAGGCAGTGGTGGTACACACCTTTAATCCCAGCACTTGGGAGACAGAGGCAGGTGGATCTTTGTGAGTTCAGGGCCAGCCTGGTCTACAGAGCAATTTCCAGGCCAGCCAAGGCTACAGAGAAATCCTGTCTCGAAAAAACAAAAATAATAATAATATAAAGTATGAGTAAACTTACCATTAGATTTCGTTTTAATATATTTGATTGCGACATATCTTGCAAAATGATACATCAGGTGAATAAACTTAGGACCACCAGGAGAAAGAAACAGTGAGCCAACAACTTGAGGAAAACCACTTCCACATTCAGCCTAGGACAGAAGACATGATGAGATGATTCAACCAACAGAAACTGTCACATTTTTTAATCACTATTTTTTAAATTTTATTATTTTACTTGTTTGGGTGTTTTGCCTGCATGTACGTCTGTGTACCAGGTACATGCACTGAAAGGTAAGGCCACAAGAGGACATCAGATGCCCTAGAACTGGAGTTTACTGGAACTGAGCTTGTGAGCTGCCACCTGGGTGCTGGGAATCAAACCTGGGTCCTCTGGAAGAGCAGCCAGTGCTCTTAACCACTGAGCCAGCCCTCCAGCCTCATCATTCTATTTTTTTAAAGGGTCTGTGATAATCTTGCAGTGAGACACACATGAGCTCTTCATGGGACAGTAAACCATCAACATTCCCCCTTCACAGCACAGTAACTTAGAAAGCTCAATTTCCATGGTTGAATGGAATATAGAAAACAAAGTTTCAACCAGCTACTACTCCAGCCCACTCTCCTACCATTTTTAAAACCTAAAAAAGCCAGGTAAGTGTTACAAACATAATTCTGGTGCTAGGGAGAGAAATAAAGGCCTTTAACCTGAACACTCAGGCAGAGGCAGGTAGAGAGATCTCTATGAGCTCCATTAAGACCAGCCTGATCTACATATCAGTACTGATCAGTTCTAGGCCAGCCAGAGCTAAACAGTGAAACCAGTAGTAATAGTAGTGGTAGTGGTGCTGGTGGTGCTGGTGGTGGTGGCGGCAGCTATGGCGGTAGTAGTAGTAGAAGAAGAGGAAGAAGAAGAAAGAGGAGGAGGAGGAAGATTTCACTTTAGGGGCTAGGGAGATGGCCCAATACATGAATGAGACCAGATTTAAAATTCTCAGATTTCAAAGAGAAGCCAGACGGACATAGCAGCTGCCTGTAATCTCAGAACTCTACAAGACAGAAACAGGATTTACAGTGGCAAGCTGGCTAGCTAAACCAGCAGTGATGGGCAAACTTCAAGTTCAACAAGAACAGCTTGACAAAGCATGATGGTGTCCATGTTTGATCTTAGCACTCCAAGAGGCAGAGGCAGGCAGATCTTTGAGTTCAAGGCCAGCCTGGTCTACAGAATAAGTTCCAAGTCATCAAGGGGTACATAGAGAAACCACTTCCAAAAAAAGAGCAAGAGAGAGACAAAGAGAGTAGGGAGAGCCAGTTTCAATAAATAAAATTATACAAAGATCAAGTTGGACATCCAAAATCAACCTCTGGTCTATACAGACACAGCAGAGGCTTCACTTTACAAAAATAATGTAGTTTAGCAGTAAGTTCTATTTTTCTTGGTTTGGTTTGAATGGTTTTGTTACAGTGCTGCTGATGGAAAACAGGGCTTACACATGCTAAGCAAGTAACTTATTGAGCTATATCCTCAGTCTTACAGGATTTTTGTTATTGTTTTTGTAAGACAATCACACTATATCAACCTGGCTAGTCTGGAATCCACCACAAAGACCACCAGGTTGGCCTTAAACTTGGTTGGATCCTCCTGCCTGAACCATTTTCAAAGATGAATTTTCTATCTTACAAAGAAAATACTTACAGAAATCTCTTTTAACCATTCACAGCAATGTTTCCGGAATTCCATGTCATGTTTTTGGTTAAATGGAGGCCAGCAATCTCTTAAAAACATAAAAGCAGACTAATGAATCCTCCCAAAAATCAAACTTAGCAAAATTGAAAAGACATGAAATTTATTCTGCACAGCAGAAATATTAAAGCAAAATGAATTTAAACTAGTGTTCTTAAGACTCAATTAAATACACTCTATGAGAAAACAGTTTTTTCTGAGGTTAATATTTGTAAGTTGAGTTTAGTTTATATATAATCATATAATATTATAGAGATTTACCAAAAAATAAGCTAGTCTTGGTGTTAGCCTTTAATCCTAGTACCGGAGAGGCAGAGGCATGTGGAGCTCTGAGTTATAATCTATATAGAATACCAGGCTAGCCAGAGGTAATGTGAGACCTTACCTATCATAAAGAAAAAAAATAATAACTTTACAATTACCTATTAGTTCCTCCATAACTGCTTTTTGTCCAATTATTTGTTGGGCATAAATACTATTCAAAGAATCAAGCTTTTTAACCCAATGTGGTGGCGCATGCCTTTAATCTCTGGGAGTTCCAGGTTAACCAGGACTACATAGAGAACCCCCCCTCAAAAAAATCAAATTGTTTTTACACTTTTACAACATGGTTTTCTTTTCTTTTCTTGAATCTATCCTGGAATCTCACTCTGGAGATTAGGCTGGCCTCAAACTAGAGATCCGCCTGCCTCTGCCTCCCAAGTGCTGGCCTTATAAAAGACTTGCCTTGGTCAGTGTCTCTTCACAACAATAGAACAGTAATTAAGATACCCCTGTTATTTATAGTTGTATTATTATTTAGTTTAGTTGAAATATTTTTTGAGCAGGGCGATGGTGGTAGTCCCAGCACTGGGGAGGCAGAGGCAGGAGGATCTCTGTGAGTTCTAGACCAGCCTGATCTACAGGAGCTAGTTCCAGGACAGCCTCCAAAACCACAGAGAAACCCGGTCTCAAAAAAAAAAAAAAAGAAAAGAAAAGAAAAGAAATATTTTTTGAAGGTCAGCCTGTTCAACCTAACAGGTTCCAGGTCAACCAGAACCTCATAACTGAGACTCTGGTCTCAAAAAATAAAAAAAGCTTTTATATTTATGTGTGGTTGTTTTTGCCTGCATGTATATCTATACACCATGTTCCATGCCTGGTGCCTTCAGAAACCAGAAAAGTGTGTACTGGATAGCCTGGTACTGTACACAGATAGCTGTGAGCCAGCATATGGGTATGGAGAATCAAACCCAGGTTCTCTGCAAGAGTGGCCAGTGAGCTTCATCACAGCAATCTCTCTAGTGCCCCCAAAATAAAAACTTTACAGAGAAAAAAAAATGCATATTAATCCATTAATTTGCAGACCTAAGACCATAAAGCTGTGGATGCCCATAAAGATGGCTGCACTCCATCTTGGCACAAGGACAGCAAGCTGTCAGCAAGTCACAAGACCTAAAGGTCAAAGGTGTAGCTACCTAAGGATGTTTCGGCCATCTCAGTCCAAATAACAACAGACCTGAATCTGAGGTGTGGCTACTCCTGACCTCAAGGCTAGGGAACAAGTTAGAGCTAAGGTGTTGTTATTGAACCCTTGGAATGAGTGAGGTAGAAAAATCTGTTCCATATACATGATGCTGTGTCCCACTTTTTGGTTATGGTATATAAGAGTGGCAAAAACTAAACTCATGGCATTTCAGTGTTGACTGATCTGCCCTCCTGATCTTTATTCTGTCTCTCTGCCTTTCTTTATTATCTATAGCTAGCCTTTCCCTCATTCACACTCCCCCACTCAGGTACGGACTTGGGGCAGCTCGGCTGGCTCCAACTGAAGCCCCGCAAAGACCAACTCCCAACATAAAGCTGATGCAGTGGGTGGCACACACTTTAAATCCATCCCAGACCTTGAAGTAGGTGGATCTCTCTCTGAGTTAAAGGCCAGCCTGGTCTACACAGAGTTCCAGGTTAGCCAGTGTGACATAGCATGACCCGGTCTCAATCCTCACATCAGAAAAAGACTATTAAGAACAGCAGGAACAAGTGTAAGGAACAAAATCTGTATTCATGAAATATGCAATTTTTAAAGTAAGCAAACGCCTGCACACCACAATTTTATCACATTCATTTAAAACAAGATAATGTCCAAAGTTGGAATTTGGGCTTACATAAAGAAATAGTCTATTTTTAAAATCTAAAAATGACTAAAAGAAGAAAATGAAATAATTTTTTTTCCTACCTGAAAACTTCTTTGGCATGAGATTCATTCAGTGTTTGAAACAAAAAATAAGAAACTATATAAAAGGCATCACGGTTCAGTTTGTCAAACATGTTCCTAGTGGTTTAGAATGGGAAAACAAAGAAAAACAATTAATAAAGCTATACAGCATCAAAAACTGTCTAAACATTGCACTCAAACTGGCATTTTTCATTCTCTTCAAGAGGTCAAGGCAAATTAATTTTTCCCATTCAGGTACACTTTATACTCCATTGTAGAGGGATATTCACTTTGTCTCCTTCTGTGGCACTGGCCACGCCAGGGACGGAAGTGACTTATGGAAGGAGGTCTGAGGAGGAGCTAGGGAATGCTCTCTTGCTGGCGGGATGGGAGAGGAGAGCATCCCGTGGAACTTGCTGGTGTTCATCTGTCTAGGTTGTAAGTTATTTCTCCCTGAATAAACATCTATTCAGCCTATTTGTTTATCCTGATCCTTATTTAACTGCAATATCTGGTGTCAGAAAAGAGGAGATGAAGGGAGATGCCATTATGTATATATGTTTCTCATACTGGTTAATGAATAAAGCACTGTTGGCCAATAGGAAAGGAAGATAGGAGTGACTAGGAGACAAGGAGGAAAGAGGAAGGAGTAAGGAGGAGTCAAGATGGAGAGTCTGGAGAGAACAGAACTGCCGTTCCTCCGCTCTCGGTAAGACCACGTGGAAATACATAGAAATGGGTTAATAATTAAGACAGAGCTAGCCGATAAGAAACTAGTAACTGGCCAACAGCATTATATCAAATACAGAGTCTTGGTGTGTTAATTGGGGCTGGCACGGCGGCAGGACCAGACCAGCGACGGAAGGAAAAACCTTACACTCCATTAAGAAAAAAACATAACAAGCTTTTACTTTCTGATTCTGAAAATAGAGATCCAAATAGGAAACTAGCCCTTTTGCTTTACTGCTATGAAATATTAAACAGAAAGGGATGTAAAAGCTAACTAACAGAAAGAGCATGCATGATGGAAGGAGGTTGGCACTAATTGACATTTACTAAGTAGCAGTAACAACAGCTAACATTTTTTGAGAACTTGGTTATTTGTTGGACATGATTTTACACCTTTTTCAGGGAACAATTTATCCTGAATTCTTCAAAGTACTATGCTGCTTTCTTAAGATGTTTTATTCTAATAATTTGACTGTTCTCATTATATATACAAACTTCAATCTACAAATGCTAACCAAAAAAAAAAAAAAAAAAAAAAAAGATGGCTCCTTCCCAAAACTATCCCAGGTGGGACACTGCATTCAACAAGTATTATCTGCTGAATGAACACATACATCACCTCCACTTGTCTCTTCATTTCAACTGTCAATTTATTCTGAGGCGGATAACCATGCAACTCAGCTTCCCCTTTATGCCACTCCCCCCGCAAGATTAATGAGACCTTCTAAATACAGTCTCTCAAATAAATACCTTGGACTGGAACAACTGGGTCAGCTCAGGATGTTCAAATTTATAACAACAGTGGTTACACAAATATATGTCAACACAGACTACAAACGCACAGAATTACAAAGTTCACCACAGACGTGAATAAAGTTTGTTAATTGTTTTTAAATAAACGTGATGCAATATTAGCACTCAACGTTGTAATTAAATTTGGTCTGGTAACTGTTCAGAAGTTACTACTATTAGCACACGCAGTGCTTTGCTTAGAAGTCTGTTCCAGATGGCTCAACAGGAAAAAAAAAAAAAGGTGCTTGCCATCGAGCCTGACCACAACAACGGAAGGGTTAAGCCAGCCCGCGGTTCTGCCCCAACAGCAGGGCAGTCCTAAGGCGCTCCCCGCACTCCCTACCCTGGTGACGAACGGCCCCCGCCACAGGCCGGAAGCCGCGGGGTTTTCCCGCCAGTGGCCCGCCACCCGGGCCCGCGCCGCCGCCCTGGCCTGCTTACTCTCCAAGGTGCGCGTGAGACACCATCTTCCCGCCGACGGTGACGACCCGGCTCGGATCCAAGCCCAGCGTCTGCAGGTACATCCAGAGATGCTGCTTCTCGAAATCAGCGTCCCAGTCCGAGCTCATCCTCTCGGTAGACACTGCGACTGAGACGGAGGAAAGCGCAGACCCCGGCGACAGAGAGGACGCTTGCTCCCCTCCTACAGACAGCCCCGGGTGGCGGCCACTCCTCCGCTGCAGCCGCCCGCCACCTCCACGCCGGAAGCCACGGCACCACAAAAGGCCAAACCGGCCCGGGAAACCAAGCCAGTGACTACGGCGCAGCCCTTAAAACCGAGACTCCCGCGCTTGCGGAAGAGAGCAGTGCGCCGGCGCCTCAGGACTTCCGGGAATGGTCTTCCTAAGCGGACTCTATCCCCCGCCATGCAATGCGCCCTTGTCTTCCTCTGAGAAAACTACAAGACCCACAGAGCATTGCGTGGCCAGACTTGGTCCAGGGTCCAGGAACAGGTATTTTGCTGAGACGGCAGATTCTTAGAATTTTAGGTTTCTGTTCCCCAGGATGAAATTGCGAGTAGTTTGGTAAAGGTTACACTGTAGCCCCTTGTAAATAACACAGCCCTGAACAAATCACCTTTTCCTTTGGGTTTTTTGGATAGGTTTTTGAGACAGGGTTTCTCTGTGTAGTCCTGGATATGCAATGCTCTGTGGGTCTTGTACTTTTCTCCGAGGGCGTATTGTATGCCTTTAATCCCAGCACTTGGGAGGCAGAGGCAGAGAACCTCTGAGTTAGAGGGCAGTCTGGCCTGCACAGTGAGTTCTAGGACAGTAAGGGACACACAGGGAAACCCTGTCTCAGAAAAAAATAGTAACACTTAAGCGTGACTCTTTCAAGAAACCAGTGTATACTCTCCTTTCCTTAAGCATCTCTCCAAATGCCCATGCTTAAATCAAGCATGGCATGTGCCTATTTCTTTTTTAAACTGATTTTTGTATGTATGTATTTGTGTATGTATTGTGTGTTTTTGTATGTATTATTTGCATGTGTATCTGTGTACCACGTGCATGTAGTTGTCCTCTGAGGCCAGGAGAGGGCATCAGATCCCCAGAACTGGAATTACGGACTGTTTTGAGAATTCACCTGGGGCCTCTATAAAAGCAACAGGTCCTCTCACCAGCTGAGTTTCTCTCCAACCCCATCTCATTTCTTTTTAATAAATCACTAACTTTCTTCACTCAGACTGGTCCTGAAATTCTTTTTTTCACATAGTCAAGCACCCTTCTTTACCCTAAGCAGGGAACTTCTCAGGTTCCTGGTGGCTATGTTCAGCCATGTCTCCATCCCTGGTGACGATTCTCATTTTACAGATGAGAAAATTGAGGTACCATGAATGGAGCAACTTGATTAAGGTTACTCATAAGTAGGAGAGATTACAAATTTGAGGTCTATGCTTCCTATGTTTCCTCCTAGTTAACCAACTTTTGTTCATTCGAATGGCCATATCTAAAATAAAGGAAAGCTTAAGACTGTGATTGCCTGACCGGCTGAGACCTCCAAAGACACAAGTATGCTGTTACCAAAAGAAGAATGTTCTAAGAAACAAAAAGTAGCAATTGTTCACTTAAAAAATAAATAAATAAAAAGACTCTCTGATCAAGGACTATACTGCCAATTTTTTAAATTTTTATTGTGCGTGTGTGAAGGACAATTTCAGGGAGTCAGTTTTCTCCTTTGTCATGTGGGTCCTAAAGGGTCAAACTCAGATCATCTGGCTTGCTGGCACATTTTTTACCCACCAAGTCATCTCACTGGCCGATAGTCTAATTTTATTGTAGGCATTTCAGCAATTAAGGGATTATATAAAATGATACATGATGATGAACAAGATCTCTTACAAAAGTTCACATCATTTACAATTGAGATCAAACAGCCCAAAAACAAAAACAAAAAACAACAACAACAAAAAAAAGTTGATTAACATTTCCCCAAAGCCACAGGAATAAACACGGGTGCAAACATAAAAAGCTGATACATGATAAATTTTCAACAAAAGAGTATTTATGTTGTTGGGAATCATTTTGCCTTAAGAGAACAAGGCTATGAGTGCATGATCACTGGCTCAATCCTCCTCTTCCATAGGTATAATATCAGGAACTTCATCAGTCTCAGATGTCAAGTCAACGGCAGTGAAATCAAGCATCTATAAAAGAAGAACCTTAGTTAGGGTCTTTATTGCTGTTAAGAGACAGCATGACCATGGCAACTCTTTTTGGTTTTTGTTTTGTTTTGTTTGTTTTTCAAGGCAGGGTTTCTCTGTGTAGCTTGGAACCTGTCCTGAAATGGATCTCTGAGGGAGTTGAAGACTATTTAGAAAAGCTACAACCAAAAAAATCCCACACCCACTCAAAGACTTGGGGAAAAAAACAAATGAAAAGCTAGCCAGTCGGATAGGGACTCAGGCAGGAGTCCTGCATCTCAGGCCTGGGCATGGGTTGGTGATCTCAAAGCAGCTCTTTGATGAATTTGCCACACACTGGGTCCCAATATGTAACATAAAAAAACCAAAACCGAGAGGCAGGCATTGGAGTTCAAGATAATGCTCAGATAAGCAAAACAGCCAGACATAAGCTCTTAACTCTGCCTCAGACTGAAAGGGTGACCCTGGCTCTGCTTTGTAGACCAGGCTAGCCTGCCAAGTGCTGGGATTAAAGGCCTGTGCCACCACAGCCTATTGACCTCAGCAACTCTTACAAAGAAAACATTTGATGGAGGCGGGGGGGGGGGGGGGGGGGAAGCTCCCTTCTAGTTTCAGAGGTTCATAGCACTACCATCACGGCAAGGAACATGGCAGCAGGCAGGCAGACATGGTGCAGGGGTAAGAGTTGAGAATCCCACATCTTCCAGACAACAGGAAGCTAACCGGAGTTACACTGAGGGAATCTTGAGCAAAAGAGGCCCCCAAACCCCACCTCCAGAGTGATGCACTTCCTCCAACAAGGCCCCGCCTCCTAACAGTGCCACTCCCTTTGGGGGCCATTTTCTTTCTAACTACCACAGATTTGAAAACAAGCACTCGCTTTCCTGTATTGGCTAAGGTCAAAGATAGAGCAAGCTGCAACGAAGTGCAATGAGCATCCGGGTCCAAAGCTGTTCCTTGTGCCTCTACCCCTGGAGTGCTGAGAATATAGACAGGCACCATGCTAGTCTGAAATTTTCTTTACTAGGAAACTGACGTGGAACACACAACTAAAGTGTTGTTTACTGTGTCAAATACTCATCTTTAATCCCAGTACTCTGGAAGCAGAAGCAGGCCGATCTTTGTAAATCCAAGGCCGGCCAGACCTACATAATAAAACTGTCTCAAAAACAAACAAAAAACAATGAGGAGCATTTTGGGTTATTATTATTATTTTTTTAAATTATAATGTTCTACTTCTCTAGGGTTTGCCTTGGGACTGAGATGGCTAATTTTTTTTTTTCTAATTTTGAAATACAACAGCAGGCAAGGCCCGGGGGGAATGGGGTGGTAGTAAGCTTTAAGCCAGACTGGGCTACATCGAGAAAACTTTCCCCAAACAAAACTTAGAAAATAGTTATCATAGTTGCCAGAGGTGTGGCTCATTGGTAAGGCTTGTGCTTAGCAATCTTAAAGGCCCTGGTTCCACTTCCAACACACTAAAAAGTTAGCTAAAAGGAAGAAAAGGAAGGAATGTGCAGGGAAAAACTAATGGTCCAATAGCCAAAATAACTAATAACAAAAACAACAAAAAAAACTCTCAAAAAAGAAAGGCAGATAGCATAAATAGACAAATCACTTTATGTGAATGAGGAAAGTCTCTGTAGTGAACGATAGTAATATTTGGACTACGTTAATGTCACTGAGTTACATATCAAAAATATGGCTCAAATGAGCCAGGCATGTGGCTCACACCATAATCCCAACATTTAGGAGGTGGGGCAAGAAGATCAAGAGTTCAAGATCAATCTCAGGTACATAGCAAGTTTTCAAAGCCAACCTATCTTGTATGAAAACCCATGTCTTAAAAGAAATAAAAAATAAAAAGCAGGCTACACAGTATCAGGCCAGATAGAGATACATAAACCAATCTTGTCTCAGAATGATCAAAATAAAAATGTTTATGTATGGCATGTGGGTGTGGATATGCACATGTCCACACTTGAGACCAAAGATTGATGTTATGTATCTTCTTCAATCATTCTTCAGCTTAGTTTTTGAGGCAGAGTCTCTCACTAAACTTGGATCTCATTGACTTGGTAGGCTGGCTGGCCAGGGAGCTCCAGGTTCTGCCTATTTCATAACCCTATGCAACCCCAACACAGGGGTGTCAGACCACACCACAGCTCCAGGTTTAAACAAACTGTGCCGGTGATCCAAACTCAGGACCTCATGCTTGTGTCCGGTCACTTTACCAACTGAACCATTTCTCCATCCCCAGAATGGCAAATTTGATGCTTGGTATATTGTATTCCATAACAATATGGAAAAAATGAGGGGTAAGGGGACAAGGAAAGTCATCATTTATTCAACAGGCCCCGTGTCTCTTTTGTATCGTTCATTGTACTTTCCCCAAAGAACTCGGTAGCTGGAGAACTGTGCACCTGAGGTACAACTTTTACTAATTTATCCCTTAAGTTTTTCATTGAAGGAGTAACTTGCATTCTAGCTCTTTGGGAATGTTGACTTTGCAAAGGTTCTAGCAACCTGGGATTCACAGAGGCCAGTAGTATCACAGAAATTGGTTTGGAGCATCAGCCAGAAAAGCCAACTGTCATGTTAGCCTTTTTTGGTTAAAAGATACACCTGTTTAGCTTTTGTTATTGAATGTATATTTTAACATCCACTAAACTTTTTGCCTTTAATACTTATTCTGTTCTATTTTGATATCTCATTAAATCTTTTTAATACCAAAATTCTGTGTGTTATTTTTGTTTTGTTTTGTTTTGTTTTTTGTGACTCCTTAGCTCAGAATAGCCTCAGACTTGTATCAGATCCTCCATGCCTGGGATTCCAGGAGTGAGCCACTGTGCCTAGCTCACTATATTTATTTTCATTAAGCATAAAATTGAAAATGAAGCTACAACACAAAAGATACAAACAAATCAGGCAGTGGTGGTACAG